GAATACAGGTAGTCCTCTCTTAGTGAGCACGCATTTAGCAACCATTCAAAGTTACGATAGCCCTGAAAAATAATGCTGCAACCATCCCAGTGTCCTCAGGGTCATGTGATTGCAAACTATTGTGCATTTATGATGGGTGTAGCATCCCATGGTCCCATGACTGCCATTTGCAACCTTCACAGCCAACTTCTCATAAGCAAAGTCAATGGGGAAGCCAAGAGGAAGTTGGAAGCCATGCTCATGAGATATTAGTCTTAGCGACAGCAGGTTAATCACTTCACAACTGCAGCCAGAATCGAGGGCATTAATTGGTATGGTCAAATGACATTGTGCTTAATAACTGTGTCATTTAGCAATTTAGAACTGCTCATCTCTATTGCATTCAGTAAGTGAGGACTACCTGTATACTCAGTTGGGGTTTTTTTTGTTTAGTGTTCTTTATATTCCTTTCTATTTAGCATTATCAACTTCTTCCATTTTTGCCAATTGAAGAATGCCAGTAACAAATAACTATTTTCTCCCCCCTTCACTTTTGTTTTTGGGTAGGTACAATCAGCAGTGTTATAGAACATGTCCTCAAACTACTGTCCCAGATGACAATTCTCCCATATGCATTGAGTGTCAACCCAATTGTCAAAGCTGTGACAGATATCAATGTTATTGGTGTGAAGAAGGTTTTTTCCTTCTAGGTAAGTGAAACAGCCAGACCTGCATGCAAAAATGCCCAGGAACATAAAGGCCTTTCATTGAGAGTTAATATCCATGATTTGATACTGATGACAGAATAGGATCTGTCTATTTGGGCAGACAATGGATGACATCAAAAAACGAGAAAATAAGGGCCCCAGTTCAAATTTCTTGAATATAGGTTGTGAACACAATCAGTGTAACAAATAGAAAATCAAAGGTGTGAGATGTTTAATTATTTCATTTGTTATTACAGACACCAGTCACAATCAAATTAGAAGTTGTAAGGACCACATATGCTAAAACATGTCAAAGTCTAAAATCAAATCGCTATTACCTATCTTAAAGCACACTAAAATGAAATTCTAGTTACCATCAAGGGAATGCTTAGTGATGCTTATGTAATCAAATATAAGCCCATTTATCTTTGATTCTCATGAAGGCAGCAAACCCAGACAATTAACAGTCTGGAAGATAATATGGATTTGGTAAATTCCCCAGAGTGCTGGATGTTATCTCTGAGAAAATCTTTGTAGCTGCAGCACAAAATTTGGCTCACATTGTATAACAGGCCAGAAGTCTAACACAATAAGTAAAATGCTTATCTCATTTTCTGTACTTAGTCCTTTAGGAGAGGAGAATTTGGTGTGGCATGTTGACCTCCATAAAAGATGGTAATAAAACATTATCCATGATCCCAATTGCTTCAGTTCAAAATTCATTTCTTTAATTAAATACTTGAATAAAGTTTCACAAATATGGTACTTCAGTGTGCTACATAGAAAAATGTAAGAATAACTGAGTAGTATTTCTTCAACTTTTCATGGAGTCATTTGATCCTAGACTTTTCATGATGCATCTAAATAAATTCAACTAATGCAAACACATCTTCTTATTAAGAAACTCAGAAATGCATGAAGACCTAGCTTTTTTTTTTTTAACCAGACATAAGAGGAGAATAATCAAGCCCATCCTATTTGTGAATGATGGTTTGGTGAACCACTTTATGTGAGTTGGTTGGAACAGAATTTTAATTCCGGTTAATCACCAAGAGACACACTTGTGAGATGGATGGCCATATAAAACTTATATAAATAAAATAAATAAATAATCCTCCAAATGAGTGATTATATATGTAAAAAATAATATGAACTATATCACAAGAAAAGCAGGATGAACATGAATAATTTTAGTCAGAATATCTAGCAACTCATAGGGACGTTTTGAAATATCACATACACATACACACACACAGACACCCCTCCGAGAAGATTCCTTCACTGCATGTTATTTTAAAAATGCTGATGTATGGGGTAATGGTTAAGATGGTGACTAAATTTGGGAGACCCAGGGTCTCAGTCACCTTCAGTCATGGAAACCCTCTCAGCCCAATCTACTTCACATGCCAATTTAAGTTCTTGTAACAAAGGTGAGAATTAAATCAAATCCATAAATAAGCACATCTTTAAATTGTTGGTATAGGAGCACCCAACTTCCAAATTAGGAATATGGAACTTGGCCAGCAAATATTGTGCACATCTAGCATATCCAGAGTATTTCCAAGACTAGCATCCATTGGAAGTGCAGGAAAAGGCAAAACTCCTCTTGTGATCCAATTGGGTTCCTACGTAATTTCTATACATAACATGTTTTAAATATATTCCTTTTTTGAAGTAAGACAACAACAGAACCATTTGTATGCAAACAAGCTTGGAGTCCTATTTGGGAAGCTCCCTTTTATTGTTACCTTAAGAACTGCATGCCTCAATATCTGTTCATTTCTATTTGATTGTGAACTGTTGTTCTCTTAGTACAGATTCTTACCAAAGAAATCAAATTTTGTACTGAGCACTCAGATCAATATGTTCTGAAACATAATAAACCAACCACTTCAGGGTTATTGGTATTTTTAATTACTTTCATATAAAGCATATCTGAAAACTGATATTGCTTAAAATATAAGCAATTATATAAGCAATATCTTTTCTTTTAAAGATATTTCACCAATGGAAGTAAAGTTTCAGATTACTTACAAAGAAAAGAATCTATATTCAGTTCTGAGCTGTTTTAGAAGAATCTTGTAGTATCCAATTAGAATGTGGTCTCAAAAATGCCTATGAAGTGTGGGGAAGCAGGTGTCAAAAAAGGCAAGATGGAAGCTGTGCTAGCATGACCAAGGCTCCATGCCTTCTTTTTGCATGCATTATGTCACATGTAAATAAGAGTCAGGCCTTCAAAGGTGAACTTGTGCCTACAATTTCACTTTATGGATCTGCTCCATATGGATAACTCACCTTTATCCAAAGAAAGAGTACACTAATAGAATCGTGCAAACAGTAGGTTTCTTCTAATACCCTAGGATACTTCCATTTGTGCAGGATTCAAATATCCTCTCATCTTTCAGTGCTGCATAATCACTTAATTCATTCAATGCCATGTTTATCAACTTGGCAATTCTAGGAGTTGAAGAGTACCTCTCTTAAAGTAGCCAAGGCTGAGAAACACTGATTTAATACAGCAGAGAGTTACATTGGCAGCTTTAATTATCAGTCTGTACTTGAAGTCCATTTTTGAGAAAGCTACGGGCACGTCCTCTAAAAGAGGCTAGGTAGCCAGTAATTCATTTCAGAATTATATGCATTTGTTATAGTGTTAGTGATTGGTGCAACTCTAATTCCCATTATCCATTGTCAATACCTGATAAGGTATTTTGGATAGTCAGATTTCCACAATAGTGGCACGATTATGTGACTATGTGTTTATGCTTCAGGTGGGACATGTGTGAGAGATTGTGGAGCTGGCTTTTACAAAGACAAAATTACAGAAGAGTGTGAACCATGCTACAGGACATGCAAAACATGCATAGGGGTCAACTACAATGACTGTACAAGCTGCCAAGGAAATTTACAGCTGCTGCATGGGAAGTGTGTAAATCCCCAACACAAGGGAAAGCATGGGAAATTTTGGAACGGTGAGCTGTTTTCGTTTTGCTGCATTGCTTTCACTGTTAGCGCTAGGAACTCTTCAAAGAGGAAGGAATCTGCTCTTTAGCAAACGCTCAAAGCAAATTGGGCTTATAGAAGAAGAAATGATGTTATTGGCAGACTTGGAAATGGAGTTATGACTGACATTTGACCGGAACCTGATATGGGGCTGCTTGACTTGCAATACCCCACAGTTTGTCAGGTGCAAAGACCAGGTCCATATGTGAAGATTCTCATATGATATTTTTATTAAAAGCCTAAACAGAGGAATCTTCTCAACTAATGGTCAGCACCTGGTTTGAGTTAGATAGGGATCAAGGGCACCCAAGCGGGCTGGACTTAATTCTTTTGTGGCTATGTAGGGATTCTAGGATAATTCCCCTTTTCACTTCACCCCCAGGTTCTGCCATCCTTTCTTCTACACAGTTAAACTCTCAGGGGTCTTGTGCCCAGTAAAAATGGTGGGCGGGCTGGTCAAGAAACTTCTCTGAGAAGGGACAATTTTGTCAGGATGCCCAAAACCAAGAGTAAATTCTTTATTCACACTCATAGTATTATTGACAAATGCACAGTTTTAGACTAGTATGAGCAGGATATTTTTACCCAAAATTTCATCTATTGTTTACTGTAATATGTTTACTAGCAATGTACTCAGTCGTACCCAATGTGAAGAAGACATCAAGACTAGGCCACATGGTTATTGTTCGTCCTGTTTTACTGATAGAGAAGCTGAAGCTGCACTCCTCAGACGATTTGGGCTCCGCATTCCTGAAGGGCCGCTTCTTCCCTTATGTCCTGTCGCGATCCTTGCGGTCGGCTGAGATCGATCCCTTCTCGGTGTCCTCCAGGCATCAAATTGAGATGGAAAGAACACTTAAAGAGGCATTCTTGGAGAATGCCCAGGTGCTGCCGAAGGCTTTTCCCTTCAAGGCTCACCAAAATCCAAGCCTGAGCGTTATCCGGAAGCGATGTAAGACTAAAACAAATCTTTTTTTTTCTAAATATTGCTATCCAAAATGGGAAGGACAGGACTTCATTTTTCACTATGTAAGATAAGGTGGGCCTTCCCTAAGAACCCCAATATGGAAGTTAATATATGGGTGAGGAGAATAATCCAGTATTTAATTTGACAGTCATCCTGGTGCTAAACTTATTTGGTATGAAGTAATAGTCATCAGCCCAAGGAGTAGCAATTCCTATGGCCAAGAATCGTTACCTCAGGATCCTGGCACAATGCAGCATTCAAACTAATGAAACAGTACTTAAACCGTGTTTCACTTCTCCTATTTTGATACTTATTTAATTAAATGTAAGCACACATGGCCTGCCTGCATTAGGACAACAAGCAGATTTAGTACAGGTGGTCCTCAACTTACAACCACTCATATTGTGAATGTGTGAAGTTACAAGGGCACTGAAAAGGTGTCTTTGACCTCACACATGCAACCATCACAGTCCCATGATCAAAACTCAAGTGTTTGTCAGCCAGCATGTATTTACAACCATTGCGGTGTCCCCAGGACATGTGATCACCGTTTGTGAGCTCCCCAGCCAGCTTCCTCCCCAGCAAAGTCAATGGGGGAAGCCAGATTCACTTAATGACCATGTGATTCACTTAACAATTGCAATGTTCCATTTAACAACCACTGCAAAAAGGCATAAAATTGGGTGCGACTTATTTAACAGACGACTTGCTTAGCAATGGAAATTCTGGTCCCAATTGTGGTCATAAGTCAAGGACTACTTGTATTTTCCCCTAATAATTTGGCATACTGTATGTTTATATATGGGGACAGGGGGGAAATGTCTGAATGAATATCTCAAAGCAAGCATGGATTTTTAAAAATACCATTGAGTGCTTACAATTAATGCAAAGCATTTTCTTGAACCCAGCTCCAATAGCCCAACAAGCAAAAGTTTTATTCCTAAATAATTGAGCTGGAAAAAGATATTAGAATTCCATTTACTTCTGAGAAGGAGGAGGATCTCCTTATCCAGATTGGGTTACAGGTACTCTGATGAAGTAAATAAAATCCAGAAATTGGAACAGGGGAACCCTCAATTTGCCTGTCATCTTTTTTACACCAAACAGAAGTACTGTTCATTAGATTTGCCTCTTGAGGGACAAACAGATGCTGGAGAAATGTTTCCTTTCTAAAGGCCATTTCTTCCCCCCTGCCTAAACATGGCACAAATATATCCTGGCAGCTTTTTTAAAAAAAAATGTTGTTCCATGCTTTGCTCTAATGATGTTAAGTAGGCTCTTTCCATCCAGGAATCTCAAGGTGAGTTCACCTTTAGGGTTTCTCCCACTTCTTAGAGGGAAGTCAGGTTATTGGCAATCATGGGCCACACAGGTGAAGGAAAGATACAGCAATGGGAACAACGACTTCCATGCTAATATAGTTTTCTTCTAACCAAGGATGGTGGGACCATATCATCTCAGCAATGTGAAAGAGCCTCAGGTGTTCATAGGGCATGGTCCAAAAAGCCAAGATGGCAGTCACAATGGTATGCTCAAAGTTCTGCCTGTTTTAACATAAACTGCATGCCTGGTGCAAATAAATATGAGTGGAAGTTCCATTGTTGCCACCATCTTGATTTCATGGACCATGTCCTGTAGACACATCTGGATAATCCCAAGAAACAAAAATCCTCTGTAGTAATCCTTCCGTTTCAACAAACCGAAATGGCTGTGGTGGTGGCAGATTTTAGGAGAAGGTATTAATACACTATGTTGATTTCAATAAAAAAATACAGGCTTTCTTTTTAAAAAGTGATAAATTGGGAGACTTTTCCAATGTGATTTTTAGCAATGACAGATTAATTAGTCCAAATTTACTCCTGATTGTATGAAAGTGTCCCTAACTCAATCCATAATGATTTTACATTCTGCAAAATATTTAGGTTTTCCTAAATATGCCACTGAGCCATGCTCAGTGTAATCCTGGCCATGTGGCACACAAATATTGATTGTTCTCTTTCTTGTGCCCAAACGATGGAGATGGTGCCTTAGGAGGATGGTTAGAAAGGTATTTCACTGAGAATTCAACTGTTATCTGCAGTCTCAAAATATTACCAATCCAGAGGTGGTATTCAGAAGGTTCTGACCAGTTCTGGAGAAACGGTAGCGGATATTTTGAGAAGTTCGGAGAACAGGTAACTACCACCTGTGACTGGCCCTGCCCCCATCTATTCTCTGCCTCCGGAGTCCCAGCTGATCAGGAGGGAATGGGGATTTTGTAGTAACCTTCCCCTGGAGTGGGTAGGGAATGCAGAATTTACAGTATTCCTTCCCTGCCACGCCCACCAAGCCATGTCACACCCACCAGGCCATGTCCACAGAACTGGTAGTAAAAAATTTTGAATCCCACCACGGTACCAATCCCATTACATGGTTAATCATATGGTTGATTATATGCCGTGACAGTAGGAAGAATAGAGGCAGGGACCCATTAGCAAGATATATTCATATCCAAAGTTTGTATTATGTTAAGTATCCCCATCTCTAGCCTCTTCAAAGAATGGCCTAGTTCAGATATAGCAGATCCAGTGTCAAATACTATGATTTATTGGAAGACAAACAAGTAACAAATTCCAATACTGTTTTTGGCTTCCTTGTTGAATCAAAACCAAGTAATCTGTTCTTAGTTTCCCAGTTGGGATGCAGTAGTGGTTTAGTGAACCAAGAAATCTTCTCTAAAATCTCCCCAAAACAGATTAAGAGGTGGGCATATCCCAACACACTTCTCTTTGCTAAATAAGGAGATTCAATCTTGAACTAAGGAGAAACGTCCTGATAGTGACAGTAATTAATCAGTGGAACTGCTTGTCTCCAGAAATTGGGGATGTGCTGTCACAGGAGGTTGGGAAGACATTTGATAGACATTTGTCCAGAATGGTACAGAACTCCTGCATTGACCAGGGCTTGGACTAGAAGACCCTTCCAACTCTGTTATTCTGTATTCTGAATGATCCAATGAATTGAATCCATTTGCTTACAGGCTGGGTCTGATTCACATTGTGACAGAAATAAATTTCAAATGATTTGGATATGGTTTGCTATTAGTCTCAATCTGGCAATTTTTCAAAACGTGATTTCAGGCAGGTGTCATTTTTTGATAGAGTGAACACCTAAGAAACAAATGATTTCTTCAGACAGATAATTTTCCTACTTGTAAATTGTTGTGTGCAGAAAAAAAAAAGAACCCATAGTGTTCCTTAACCAAAGTTGGATCATCTCCTGCAAACTGCT